CACGAGTATGATACCGCCGTCGTCGTCGGTTTTCAAGGACATGACTTCGGACCTTGTAGCAGTGCAGATCACAGTGGAACTCTTCGTTGCAACGGACAATTTACATATGGTAGTTGCAGGGTGTGGGAATCGAACCCGCGACTGGTTGATTGGGTAGGATCTCGCCTCACTAGCCCCACTTGCTAAATACACAGGAGGCGACATGCGGTATTATCCACTGTTCCGGGAAGCGTTCCGCGGTGAACATCTGCGCCAGGATATTCAGCATATGCTCACTCGTGAGATTCTCATTGATCTCCACTAGGGTTATGAAGATTCCTTGCCAGGCGAGACGGGCTTCGAGGCTGTGATGAAGTTCAGAGTGTCCCCTGGGTATCAGCTCAAGAGCTACCATGGGCATCTCTTCCAACGGTGAGTGGATAGCACTACTGATCGATAGAGAGGCACGGTGGTGGTGGTCAGTACGCGAGATTTACTAGTGGCGCCCAACTGTACGGAAGACGAGACCTTTGGCTGCATCGTTGGAGTTAATAAGGACGTACTAGCAGTCCTAATGCAACAGTTTTATTAAGAGGATCGGCCCGTTGTTAGTTCTCAGGACCACAAGCACGCTCAGTGTGTATACAGGCAGCATTGCTATACACTTCCTCTACTGGCGAACGCCGTATTCGGGTGAATACATCGCAGTACCCGAAGTCCTTGGATGTAAGAGCTTAGGATCGTGTCAGGCCGCCGCTTATTGGGCTGTGTCAGGTTGAACAGGTGATGGCCTCATGTGATGCCCAGGCGGCTGCTATTATCATGGGCAAGTACGCTATAAATGAATCGAGGAATGTTAGTGATGCTCGGAAGTAGGCAATGGGGCCATCACTGTATTTCATGTTAGTTGCTCCTGTAAGATACCTCTTGGACACGACACAGGCGGCGTTGGCTGGTCCTAATGCTCGCCTAGAGAATTTAAGCGCACTCCCTGGGTAGGTGATGAACGGAAGAAGCGTTGTCTCATCGACGATTGCAGTATTATTGTTTTTGTTGGGTAGGTTGGTCCTAGGCCTGCTAAAAAGCGATGTGTTCAGTGCTGCTGGTGACATCACTCGTGATG